AAAAAAAAAAAAAAAAAAAAAAGGTTCCTGTTACCCTTGGCTGCTGAATCCCTTCCGGGGCGCCAGCACAGCCCCACTGGTCCCTCCCGGAGGAGGGCTGGGGCCTGGGCTCTGAGGACAGCATCGCGGGGACACCAAGGCCCAGGCCACATGCCCCGTCTGATAACCAGAAGATGCAACGGATAGAAATACGCGTTCAGTGACCTGTGGTCAGTGACTGCTGCCCTTTGCTGAAGTGCGGGCCGTGCGCCAGACGCAGGGTCAGCGCGTGGAGTGCATCATCCCCCGTCCTCGCCCCAGGGTCCTCCCCTCCGGCCAGCTCAGGACAGAGGCGTGGACTCACCGCTCAGTACCGTGCAGCTTCCACGGGCCGCCCCTCCCGCTGTCTTGGGTTCGGACTTTGTAAACCACACGCACTGACCTTCTCTCTTGGCTTCCTAGTTGTGGAATCAGACAAAATGGGGCTTTGTGCCTCTCGTGGAGTACGTGGGTGCTTTTTCCAGACCCCTCTCCAAACTTACCCGTCACCTTCCTGACCCCCCAGAAACTCACGGCCCCCTTTTCTGCAAAGCTTATTTAAAAGCAGGTAAATGGCGCCACCTCCTGGAGAGGATGGGTGCCACCGCGGTCAGAACAGGACAAAGGAGAGACGCCCAGAGTCTCAGAATAATGGCCGGCTTGTCCTGCTTCCCTCCCTGATGGGCCGGAGCCTGTGGACTCAAGTCAGGCTTCCCCTGAGCCAGCTGGGTTGCTGGCACCCCAAAACTAAGTCCAGAACCCAAACAACATTAAGGAAACAACCATATAAAGAGCATTAAAGGAAAGCCTAGCAAGTGCAAAGGCCCTGAGGCAGAGGTGAACATGGTTTGTCCTGTGGATGGAAATAAGGCCAGCAGGGGCACATGGGCCGGAACAGTGAACAAGGGACGTTTGCTATGCTCCCATCTGCCTCCACAGTCTGCCATCTGTTCCACGTGGGTCAGACTTTTAGATCAGACACACTTGCTTCCTAATTGTTAATCTCCATTTCCTTTTCTCTGAAATAAGAACATTTGCCTCCTTGGGTTTCCAGAAGAATAAAATGAGATCGTGCCTGTCAAGCATCCTGCACACAGCGGGCACTCGATAAATGCATGCCCTCTCCCCCTTCGTGACTGCAGGCTCAGAGAATCCAGGGGCCGGCCTTTCCTGCTAGGACTGCCAAAGGCCTGGCCGTTCCCTCCTTGTGCCTCTGACTTATTTCCTGTCCCTGCAGGATAATGCATGACGAAGTGAGCGAGACAGAGAACATCCGGAAAAATCTAGCCATCGAGCGCATGATTATCGAAGGCTGTGAAATCCTGCTGGACACCAGCCAGACTTTCGTGAGACAAGGTACGTCCCCCGGGCCCTGCCCTCCCCCGCCCCCGGCAGCCCCAGGGACACCTCCAAATGGCATGTCTGCTGAGCGTCTCGGGGCCGCTGGAGGCCTGTGGACGTCGTACCCACACCTGCAGACACAGACACCGTTGGCCTCCGGGTTCCTTTTCCCCAGAGGGGAACGCACTCCTTCCCAGGCGGCCCGGTCTGTCGTGTGTCCCCGTGAACACGGACGCCACGTTCTGGGGACAGAGTAGGGAGCAGAGGACAGGGGCAGGTGCGGACAGGCCTGAATCTAGCGCTCCCAGCCCCGAGGAAGGCGGTGCGGCTCAGTGCCCGTGTCCTCGGCCTCTCGGGGACGGTCACGTTCACAGTGGCTCCCTTTCCTCGCCTGGGAGGTGCAGCCCCACGGAGGGCCAGCGGGGCGGGGGGCTGGCTGCTGGTGCCAGGACGTCGGGGCCTCGGTGCTTCTGAGGGTTGTCCCATCCAGAGCCCACGTCCCGTGGGGACCGGCTCGTGCTCGCCCGCGTCAGAGGTCCCTCCGTCCGGCCCTGGGCTTCTCTGGCCAGAGGGAGAGCTGCCCACGCCTCCTGCAGCCTGGGCAGCTGGCCCTGCAGGTGTCCTCGGCTTGGAGTTTTACTCTAAGGCCCCGTGTGACCCCCGTGCCCTTCCCCCGTCCACCCTGCCTGAGTTGGGCGGCACCGGGCCCACGCTGCGGTGGCCAAAGAACGGCCCCTCCTGGCACGGGCAGCGTCCCCGCAGACCAGGAACCTGCTCTGTTCCCCGAGCAAAGTGCTTCCTCCTCTCCCGTGGGGCTGTGCTGGACCTGGAACCAGGCAGGGGGAGTAGGCCGGTCCCCCCTCCAGGAGCGGACGGTGCAGGGGATCCTGAGGAGACAGACGCAGGACAGGGCTCCAGGCAGCGCCGGACGGGGCGGGAGGCAGGGTGAGGGGAGTCGGGCAGGCCTTCCTGGGAGGGAAGCACAAATAGGAGTTCACGAGGTGGAAAGCAGGGGCTTTCCCGCCGAGGAGCGGCACTCGGAGCCACAGGGAACGAGCTGAGCGAGGAGGGAGCGCAGAGGAGGGCCCAGGGGGAGGAGGGGGAGGAGGGACGTGTGGGGCGGGAGCAGGGGCAGCAGGTGGCTTCTTCCCCCGGATGGCCCTGCCCGGGAGTGGCCTCCCGCGCGCGGTGTCAGGGACGGGGCCGGCGTGCTGTGCCTGAGCAGTCGTGTCTGCTGTGGCCGCGGGGCCGTGCCTGGTGCTGACCCTTCTGCTCTAGAGCCGGCTCCCCACGTGTGCTGCCCCCACCCCCACCCAGCCCTGCATTCCCGCCACGGGGGACCTGTCCTGGAGGCTCCTCCACTTGCCGGGGCCCCGGCAGGGGGCCGAGGGGTCCTGCAGGGACTGGCTGACGGGGCTGAGAGAACGTCCGGGGTGCACCTGCTACCAGGACCCGGGACTCCCCCCTCCCGGCATCGTGACCCACCTGAGAGCTGGCCGGCGGCGGGCGTGGCTCTGGGAGGTGGGCTCAGGGTCTGCCCTCCACCCACAGGCTCCCTCATCCAGGTGCCCATGTCTGAGAAGGGCAAGATCACCAGGGGCCGCCTGGGGTCTCTGTCCCTGAAGAAAGAGGGCGAGCGACAGTGTTTCCTGTTCTCCAAGCATCTCATCATCTGCACCAGGGGCTCTGGCGGGAAACTGCACCTGACCAAGGTGAGGGCTGCGGGGGCTGCGGAGGCTCGTGGCGGGCACCACCACGGGGGCCCGGCTGACCCTGACCTGGGGCCCAGACGGCGGGCCGGGGATCAGACACACGAGAGTGCACACGTGTGTGCTGGTCTGACGGGCGGGTCAGAGAGAGCTGGACACAGCCGGGTTTTCTGCTGGAGAAATCATGGGGAACACGGGAGCGCGTGTCAGGACCCCCAGAGGAGCCCCCGACCGCTGGTGCCAGGGCAGAGGGCCCGGGGGTCTAGACAAACCGCTGAGAGGCGCACGTGTGTGTGCGCGTGTGTGCATGTGAGGGGCCAGGTGGAGGACGGCACCTGCTGAGGCCGGAGCAGCGCCCAGAGCCTCCGCTCGGGAGGAGCTCGCGCAGCGGCTCGCGGGGCATCCCAGGCACGACGTGCCAGCAGGAGAGCAGACACGAAGGGCCGTCCTCGGGACCCCGCGGCCCTGCAGGAGACCCCACACAGTCTGCTGATTGGCCTGTCCCCAAAGCAAGGGGGAACGCTCGCTGGCAGGGGGATGCCGTGATCGCGGAGGTGGTTTTCCCAGGGGGAGACTTACCCCCCACACGGATGTGCTGACCCTGCAATTTCCCCAAACGAGGGGAACTCGACAGTGTGGTCGTGGGGGACTGCACTCCGCCTCCCTGGGACAATTAAGTAGTCACAGAGGGCAAAGGTGACGGGGAATCAGCACCTCAAACGCCTCCTGCTCCTTCACAGACCACAGGGCCTTGGCTCATACTGTCCCCTTCTTTCTCCCCTGGAAGACCGCCTTCCTGTCCTTCGTGGCTACTCAGGTGCCACCTGCTGTCAGCCTGCACCCAGCTTGGCACATTGCTTATCTCACTGCCCCGAGTTCAGGACCTGGCCCCGACTCAGTCTCTCACACGCACGGGAGCCTGGAACAGCCCAGAACTGCCCCTGCCCGTCTCTCCCTAAGTTCCCTGTCTGCAAAGCAGAGGTGACCATCCTCACCAGAGGCCCTGCAGAGGCGCAAGCAGCTGGCGGTGGGGGCACATCTTTCCTGTCGAGGCAGAGCACCTGTGAACCGCGGTCTCCCAGGGAAGCGCGCTTCGGAGGGTCTCGGGTCCGAACACGCGGCGGCGGCCTAGAAAAGGCCAGAAGGTGCCCTCGATTAAGCCAGAGCCTCGGACAAGCCACTCTTCCAGACCCGGGATGCCTGGCCCAGAACGCACAGAGACGCTATGAGATGCTGTGGCTGCGGGGAACGCACCGCTTATGTTGACACGTGCACAAATCGGCCGTTTGGCTGCACGAGGGGAAGTCAGCTTACGGCGAACGCTCCAGTTTCGACCGAATTCCGGGTCAGGGAGAGCTCTCTGTATTCATTAGCTCCGGAGTCTCGGTTGAGGATCTCTGTCGGGCTGGGGGGACGTTTCCTGCAGGCGGGGGTCAGCGGGGCAGGTCGAACTGGAGACGCTGCCTGAAAGCACGTGTCTTTCCCTTTGTCGTATTTTGGTTGGGGGTGTTTGTTCGGGCTTTTAAAGTTTTTCTCATAAGGAACACGGAGATGCTCGTCAAGTCCCAGCACCCGCTCCTGCCAGCAGGTGCCTCACCAGGCCTCGGTTAATCCATCTGCGTGATGGGGGTGAAAACGTGTCCCTCGGGGATGCCGTGAGCGTGAAGCAAGGGCGTGTCGTGGTGCCTGGGACGCAGTACCTGCTCGGCGTGTAACCGTCGTCGTCACTTTCAGTTACGTGGTCGTGAACTTGTAACGATACTGGCGGTAGCGAGCCCTTGCGTAAGCGTTACCGTGGGCCAGACGCTCCCCCAAGTGCGCACACTCAACTCCTGGAACGACCTGCCGAAGCCGATACGGTTACTTCCCCGTTTTACGGATAAAGGACCTGAGGCCTCTGGAAGCCCGCAAACGGCAGAGCGGGGATTTGGTCCCGGGCCGGCAGTCTGGCTCCAGAGTCTGTGTCCTTGAACTACAGGCTCAAGGTCAAGCTGTAAAACTACCCTAAGGTCTTCCAGAAGGAAGAGCGCGTCAGAGCTAGATGGGGCTTTACAGATGGTCAAGCCCGGGGCTCGCCCGAGGCCACCGAGCAGCAAATCGAGAAGCAGAACCCAGGATTGGGGACACCCCGATGCCCCCTCCGGTCCCCCTGCCCCCCGGGCTGCCGTCCCTGCAAACACCTGTGTAGAGATTGAATGTGTGGCCAGCGTCTCTGTCGCCATCAGTTATTACGTTACTTACCCACTTATCCGCCCCGTGGGACAAATTACCCACATCCAAGGTCTCAGCTTCTGAGTGAGGAAGCTTGGAGCCCCCGGCTGGGCCGGTGGGGCCCGGGGTCTCTCGAGCTGGAGTCCAGGCTGAGCTCTCCCACCGTACCAGCCTTCCTGCTGTGGCTCCCCCAGAACACGTGGTCCCAGGGACCCCCGCAGAGCAAGCAGGGGGCTGTGGCTCCCACAGGCGCACAGCATCTGAGACACAGGTGACCGAGTCCGGCCCGCGCTTGGCAGGGAGGGGAGTGGACCTCAGCTCTGTTGGGGGCGGGGAGGGGCGTCGGCATCCTGCACCCGCGGCTGTGGTCCCTGTTCACCACGGTGCCGGGGCATCCGATGCGCGGAGGTGCTCCCACTCTCAGATGCCCCAGATGCCCCCGATAACGGGCAACCAGTAGGTTGCGACCCCAGCTCTAAGGGTCCAGGTGACCTCAGGCGTGATCCCCGTCTCCGATCTCGTCTCCTCATCTGTAAAATCAGAACGAGACGTGTGCGGAGTCCGATAAACCCGTGTCCAAGCTGCAGACGTGGAGTCTCAGCCCAGAATCGGGGATTCCGCAGCCCCCGCCCCACCCACCCTTGACCCTCGTCCCTGGAAAGCCCCCGAGACAGTCCCGCCTGATCTGCTTCGTGGGGGCCCCGATGCGAAGAGCACGTCCTTCCACGTGGGAACCAGAGTGCCCGC